CCCCCCCCCCCCCCCCCCCCCCCCCCCCCCGATTGAAGCCTAACTACTCTAACGGGCCTAATATAGTACACTAACAAAAGTAACTCTTCCTTGGCTACCTAATTGCTATCAATTGTACATTCCCGCATCTGCTCGTGATCACACGGACCTGTCTTCATCAGGCCTGCTCTTCCCCCATGTGAGGTCCGGGCACATGGGGCCGCAGGACGGGGCCATCCTGCAGCCGCCCTGTGTAAGGGTACCGAGTCACCAACTGCGGATATGGGCCCCATCTCTCCCAGAACCCATTCTCTTTGGCTTCCCCAATACGCTTGCTCCTTCGGAAGTCCGCCATCAGGGCGATCCTGATGTTCTCCATTGCCCGCTCTTGCCTGCAGTGGTGGATTCACGTTCTTCAGTGTCCATAGGGCCCACAACACCGCCGCTCTCACGACTTCTTCCGCAATCAGGTCCCCAAAGCCCGATCTATTGGCCTGTATCAGGGTGCCCAGAAGAATAATCATCCGTTTCGTCAACACTCAGTGGCGTTTTGTCTGCAACTTCCTTTGCCCACCACGTCCAAAATGCCCAGCCCTCCGGACATCGCACGAAGAGATGGTGAAGGGTTTCCTCCTGGCCACACCCTGGAGCACATGTCTGGTCTTTTAATCGACTTTTTGTAGCTTGCCACTGTGCTGTCGGGATTGCCAGGTGGTAGATTTGCCACAACAGGCCGGCCTGTGTTTGGTCTGACAGGGCTGATGAGTGCGCACTGCTCATTCCATCTGCGCTGTGTCCATCTATCCACATATGCGCTGGGGAGCCAATTCCGCTTGGCCCAGCGAGCCTTCAACTCGTTGCAGATTTTCTTAGATTCCAACAGGAAGTTGTAAATGTTCTTCGTCGTCACTTCCTGGAGCGGTGAGGCGCGCTTATGCATTCTCTGAGTGTGCCATTTTATTTTCTTTTTCACCACGCTATTCTCTTCTCTCAATTTTTTTGTCACCTCACACTAGCTATCTACATTATCTCCTCACCTCCTTAAACCACCAGTACATGGCCCCAAGCAACTGGAGAACCTGTTTTGAGCCTCTCCGAAAAATTTAAAGGCCGAGCGCCGTAGATAAAATGAATCGACAGTGGGTGGCCTCCGAAAAGGGCCTGTGGCCAATAGCTGGCATGTACTGGTGGTTTAACTTTGCAGCTATCCTTATCTATCTGCGGAGAAGCATAGCACGCCAAGGGTTATGGGTCCAAGACAAGTTCCCTCTCTAGTCTACCCTAGCTTACCTATCCCCTCAGGTTTGAGCCTATCCCCTCAGGGTTGAACCTAAGTTACTAACCCCTCAGGGTTGAACCTAATCCCTAGCGCGGATCCCGACCCGGATCCAGACCATGGACCCACTAGGGGGTGCAAACTGACTATCTCAGGTGGTGAGCCCGAAGTGTGCTGCAGGGGCCGCGGGGAGCTGAATGGATGACGTGGGGAATCGAACCCACGACCTCCTGAATACCATTTATGTGCTCAACCACTTGATCTAGGCCGCTGGCTCTTTTATGCGCTGAACTGTTTCAACAACTTACATCTCTTTTCTCTTTTTTCTTTTTTTTTCCTTTTCCAGGGCTGAGACTTTCCCCTGTCCTATTATCCCTGGCATCTGCTGACGTGTGTGTAAAGCGGCCCAGGGGTCTCGATTCGGTTTTTGAGTTACATATCAAGCAGCAGGGGTAGTCGAGTCACTCAAGTGGGATGGTACTTCTGTTCCCTGGATCTGCGGGCCCACTATGACGTGGTACTCATTTGTGTGACAGGCTGGCCCTCCTGCTTGTGTGACAGGATGTCTCCCCTGTTTGTGTGACAGCCTTTGCTCCCCTGTTTGTGTGACAGCCTTTGCTCCCCTGTTTGTGTGACAGGCTCTCTTTCGTGTTTGTGTGACAGCCTTTGCTCCCCTGTTTGTGTGACAGGCTCTCTTTCGTGTTTGTGTGACAGCCTTTGCTCGCCTGTTTGTGTGACAGGCTGTCTTTCCTGTTTTCTGGTGTGAACATGATGGGGGCAATTTTTAAATACTTTTTGTGATTCTGTTGTTCAATATGACACACTCGTTGGTGTCGGTCGGCTTGTGGTTTTCTGTGTGAAAGACTTTCAGGTAGATCGAGCCTTCAGTTTGCTTGAAGAAATGCGTAGCCGGGGGATCACACCATCTGGCCCTGTGTTTACAGCTCTGATGACGGCATGTGTGAAGGCGCAGAAACCAGCAGATGCATTCACAGTGTATGCGGAGATGAAGGTGGGT